CGGGACCGGGTCAGGACCAACACTGCATTCCATTTCTGCAGGCCTTCATGAGCCTGGCTTGGGGTGGCCCATGATGAGCATGCTCGGCAGCCCCCAGCCTGACAAGATTAGTTCTGCCGGACTCCGCAGCTTTGCTGTTTTCAGTACCCGTGCAGGAAATCCACAACAAGCCAGGTTGCCGGGATTGTGCAGGACCCCCAAGGTCGGCAAGACCGATTAAGTGCTTGGGGCCCCGCACAAACCTCAAAAACTACGATTTCTTTTCACTTCTGAAAAAATGTGGGGGAGTGTGGTGAAAGGGTGGGGGTCGGCTGAGACGGCTACCTCAGAGGTGGGGACCCTCAGCCAGGATATCCCCCCTACCTGCCCCCCGCCCAGAAACCATCCAACATGCCTCCCAAGGTCGGCAGATTCCACACAAAACAACAAGCACCAATACCAAAAACACTTACGGAGTTAGGAGGAACCATAGTAAGAAGGCTGCATCGTTTCACCCTTCGAAGCCTCGACTGTTCCGCTGAAGGCGCAGAAATCTATGGATTGATAGCACGGAATCTATCTCCGACTGGTGCTTGTATCGTGGTCGCGGCCTGCGACATGTGGCCGCCTTGTTTCGCACTTCGGAACAGTAACATGCGACCACATTCTGGTTCACGAAACGCACGCGAAGATATGCATGGGAGTGTTGGGTGTGGAATGAGCAAGGGAAATGCATGGAAGTTGAATTGAATTGGAGATCAACCTTCACGACTTTGCAGATCCAACAGCTCATGAGCAACTGGGGTCAGTGCTTGCGCAACCACGCGGTTGTGTTTGTTGTAATTGGCCAGGTGTAGTTGAAACCTGTATCCACAGCAAGCCCATAATCAGTGCCATAGCGGTGGGTTGATCTGATGGAAGCCCGGACTCCTGGGGCATCGCAGGCTCGCAGAGAGTCTCCAGGCTTGGTGTGCAAGAGAGAGCCTTGTCAGGACCCTGTGCCGCCAACTTGGTTCCATGACCCAGGCTTGCGAAAAGCACGCACTGGCGCTAGGTCGGAATCCTTCTTTGCGCTGGACTTAAGTTCTTTGCGCGACGAGGATCTGGCCAACACCCTACTGCAAGATTTGTTTTGGAGACGCTGCGCTCTAGGACCGCGACAATGCCGACCAACTGCAAGGCAGCTTTCTCGGATCTGATATTGCTATGTGCACTGTTTGAGCTTTGCCCATTGCCGCGCAGACTCCGGTTTGGACGTGGAGGCCTGGAAGCCATGGAGCATCTCAAAAAGGCAGCTTATGCATCCTGGAAGTGAAAGGCCGGATCACGGCCCGAGCCAGGGCCTAAAAGCGGTCATCAGACTGTCAGATACAAGTTTGAGCTCAAGTTAGAGACGGATCTTGAGGCAGGCGGTCGTGGTGGATCTCAGGACTCTTCGTGGCAGCCTGGGCAGCTCGGAGCCTAGCGGAACATGAAACCTATGTTGGGAGAGCTGCGCAGCTTTAGGCGAAACAAGCTTCTGTCCACCTTCGGTGAGGACGAGCGCCCAGGCTAGCTTTCAACTGTTGACACACGTGCTGTGAAACCAAAGCAAGATAAAAGCAAAACAGGCGACCCCCCTCATCAGCGCGTGCAGCTCTGCCGGGGCCACGGCAATGTGCCTACAAAGCTATGCAAAAGTTTTAGCTTGTGATCCTATTGATTGAATTTCGCAGCCGGTGTATATGGCGTGTAGGAATTTGCTTTCAATGCCTGTTGCCCGTATAATTGTTAGCATTTTCATGGCGACCTCTCAATTTTGTGTACTCGACCGGATTCCAGTCGAGCTGCGGGATTCAGCAGTGTTAGGCTCCCAAATATCCTGACGATGCCTCTGACAAGCTTCACTTTGATTGGGCTTTCATATTAAATCGTGCCACCAAGTGCCTATGAAATTTGGACACAACCACGAAGCAGGTTGAGATCTCTGTGGACCTTCCTCTGAGCAGCGCTCCGGCAAGGAGCAGCTTCAAATGCCGATGACCTCCTACGTTAGCAATCTTCTGCGTCCGCAGGCAGACGATGATCCCCTGTGAGCCCAGCGCCTTTGGGGAGGCCTCGCAACGCCGCGTGGCCAACGTGGCACTGCAGTGCTGCAGCGTTGTGGCGGTGAAAGGGCGAGATCGACCTGCGGGAGCTACACCGCCAGACCAGGCTGCCGGAGGCCAGTGATGTCACAAAAGCGAGCCCCGCAGAAGCTCTTGGTGCCTTGCGCTTTGCGCTTTGCGTCTTGCGTGTGCCGTTTTGGACCTCGCCCAGGCTTCAGGTGAGCAATTCTTCGCGCAGGGCCCCTGCACGGCACTGAGAGTTGGGAATGACCCTTCAAGTCTCTGTCAGGGTCCACTGAGGCTTCTCCAGCCATGTTTGGAGATACTACAAGGATTCTGGAGTCCCCAGCTCGGCCTCCTTGTCCTTGCTGTCAAGATCCCCGTCTGAGCTGCTGCGAAAGGCCTGGTCCGACGGCCCGGGCCTGAGCGGCCAAGCGACCGCGGAAGCATCTACAGGCGCTTTGGCAGTGTGAAGTGATTCAGGCATGTGTGCGGCCTTGCCTGCGGCTTGGAGAATACTATGTAAGATATTCATGCATCTTCTCCTCCAGTCTCATTTGCCTCCACACTTTGGTCTAGGCAACACCCTTTGCATTGCTCAAGCCTTAGCAACCGCTGGATTGAAGCCGTTTTTTTCAGATTCGTCACATGTGCGAGGCACCAACTGTTGCTGTCCACCCTGCGCTATGGTCAGGCAGGCTTTCATTGAAGGACCTGCTAAGCTTTTAACCACTTGCGCATTCCAGCGCAGATTGTGGCGGACCCTTCAGCGTTCCTTACCTCTTGACGTTCGCCTCCTCCTTAGAGAGCCTTGTGCAAAGCCCAAAGACGAGAGGAAGCTGAGCTGTAGGCTGTTGTGGGAAGCTTCTCTTCCGGGTTGAGACACCGCGTGGAGCTGGCGACAACCTCGAAGCTCATGGATGTTCTAAAAACCAAGAGCAGGAAAGAAGCAGTTTAGGGCTGTGCTCGAGGCCTTGCAACATTGGCCGTGTGAGACTCCCAGAGATCATGTACAAAACCGGCCAGACGGTCAAACTGGGCGTCTGCTTGGCGCCCGCTTGGCAGGCTGCTGCTGATCCTTTGTGTTGGTTTGGGTGTGGCCTTGTGGGCCGGCACCTTGGCATCCTGGCATCTTGGTCTGCATCTGACTTGGAGGAGACCGGTTTCTAAACGCAAACGCGAGGCCGCCATTCTGTTCGCCGTTGGCAACAAATACCAAATTGTCCAAATCCTACTAAAACTCCAGACGCGATCCTGTCGCACAATTCTGCTCCATTCATTTCAAGCTGGCAAGGCGCACCTGAGGAAGTATCCTTGCTCAGCCCTTGGGATCTCCAACCATGAAGGGAAAGCCTTCAGAACTTGGACTTCGAGGCCTTGCCTTCAGCAAGACTTGCTGCTGTATATGCGCAAGGGCCTTACGGCCTTCTGATTTTTTTCAATTTTCACAGCCCAGCTGAGGCGATGAACGTTCGAGTCGGCTTGCACGTGGATCGGGCGCAAGGCGCGCACGATCGTCCTGTTTGCTTTAGGTGTTTTTCAGAAGCGTCACCAAAAGCAGCTCATAGCGTGCGTTGGGCTTCAGCTGCCATCCCAAGCAACCGCTCGTCAGCTTCAATCCTCTGAGTACCTACAAATTAAGGTAGGATTCTCGGTTTATGACGTCTGGGGTACGTGAGGAGTTGCAAGTCCTTGGCATGCAGTTGGTTTTGTTGCAGTGACTTGTGACAGCTGGCATTCTCCGCGTTCAACGTTGACCTGCAGTTTTGCTTCCAAGCTTGAACTACCTGTCAGGTTTCTTCAAGCCCAGCCGCGCAGTGTCAGCCATGATTGAGCTGCAACAGCAGCTTCCCAATCTCGGGCGACCCGAGAGAGGCAAGTAGAAAAAGCTGCCACAGAATCTTGCCCAAATAGTGTTTCTTTGATTTTTGAGACATCCTTCCCCAATAATGTGCCGCTCAGGCTGCAACGGCACAATGCCATTTCAGAAGCCATGCGCATGACCATGAAGCATCTTCTGAAGCAAAACTGAGCTGAGCAAGCTGAGCAAGATTGGGAGCAGAGCAGCTTTGTTCAGACCGCCAGCCTCCAAACACAGTCAGCAACAGAAACTTTTATCTGAAACTCCCAAATGGCGCGTGGAGACAGGCAGCATCCAGCTTGGCGCCCATGGCATTCCCAGGCCATACTAATTGACAATGGCTACATCTCTGAAGCCTTGTCGAACTGTTGCATATGCAGGCAAAGGCTGGAAACGAGAGAGATGAACGCGACAGCTCACGCTTCCGCTCCAGTGAAAGATTTCAACGCGGCACCGTATTCTGCGCACATGTGGAAGATGCCCTTGCAACTAAGCAGCAATGGACACTGGCGAAAAAGACACTGAGCAGACTTAGCCCATGTCATGTCGTGGCTTTTTTTGGTACTGTGAACTCGGAGAAGCGAGGCATGGCAGCGGACTGGATTGTAACTCAGCCTTATTATGGGGACTGGCATTTCCAAGATTTGTAAGCCGTGATCACACGCATCGCAGTCCTCTTCAGCCGCCGTGATGATGGCAATAGTTCACAGCTTTGCAGGTACAAGTACTTGGTAGTGGCTTGGGATCGAGACCAGCAGAAGTACGAGGCCTGATGGGAACATCGGCGTTCTAAATTCCTTACTCTCGGCAGCCAGGGCGGGGGGAGGGATGGCCTTGGGCTTTGAATAATTAGTGGTGTAGCAGGGCAGATGGAAATGCTTGCAGCAACAGTTGCTTCTTTGACATGGTAGCAGGCCTGGGAAGCCAGTGGCCTACACACTGGGCTCTTCTCGTACGAGGAAGTTGCAGATGGAGTGCCCTTGACATGAAAGGATTCAGGATTGTAATTTACAGTTTACACATGGAACGCTGAGGTGAAGCTACTGAAGAATGCTGGCCGACGCGAGGAACTGCGGATGAGATGCAAGGACTTGGACTCATCAAGTTCCGTGCTTGAAGGAGTTGCTCTCTTCGTGGACGGACGATGAGCTTTCAACCTTGCCGCCCGTGGAATTTTGCGTCTTGGTGGGTAAAACAGCTAGGGGTCAGCTGGAGCAAGTCCTGAAGAAGCAGGCTTTTTGTAATTGTTCTCGAACGGGCCGCCTGTATAATGAGTCTGGAGTCTCTCACTTTCAGATCACTTCACGGCAAGGGACCTTTCATCTAAGTGCAAGGTGGAGGATCTGCTGGAAGTCGAGCACGGCCATGCAGCCCAAGCCCTGGTCTGGCATCAATCTGCAATAATTAAGTGCTGAAAGAGGTGAGCTCCAAGGGTGGAAGGAATTGGCACTGCATCTTACACAAGGTTGTCTGCCTGTAACCATCACTAGGTAAGGGAGACTGCCGAGGTCAAGTCAATGCACACCGATGTGACATGCTGCAGCTAAATTTGTAGCTTTGAGAAAGCTGCAGCCTAACAACCAACCGGAATAACAACCAACCGGAACCTGAGCATGCAGCGGGTTTCCGAGAGATTTAGAAAAAAAGCATCCACTTCTCACGTTAAGGCCGAGATGAGGTGTTTGCACCGCGGCTCAGCGGCTACAAGCCCTATGGCACGCTGGAGCACCTTCGGCTCAGAAAGGTCTTTTTGAGGTCTGACATGTGAACGAAGACCAGCTCACAGCTCAGGCTTGCAGGGCCGCTGCTATTCCATTTGCACGCCAGGCTCGCACCCACACACACCACCTGCAGCCACTTGCGTCTTGCAAAATCCGTGTGAAAGCCTCAGGCGCCGATGGGACCCAACGTTCCATCGCATCGTGGACATCGGCGCAGGGCACGGCCGCACTGCCGCATGGCTCACCCAAGCATGGGACTTTGAGGCGCGGTCACCAGGCCACCGGTCTCTGAAGACTCGTTGGCAGCTTTGGAAGGTCACAGCTGTGGACGTGGTTCGGCCGCAGAGCCCGGAGTTCAACGTGGAGTTGTTTGACGGGCGGACGCTACCGCTGCCGGACAAGAGCCGCGACTGCGCCCCACTCGATCAGGAAGTGGGCTCCAGCTAAAGCGGTTCAGCAACAGCTGGTTTTGTCGAGGTGCACTTTTTTCTTTCGTGCTGCATCACTGCCGGCATTTTGAGTTGCAACGAGCGCTCCTAATGGAGGCAGGGATTGATGAAAGCCTTGAGTTTTTGAGATGGTATATATGCTGCTCGCCCATGGGCCAGGCAGCGCGGGTGTCAAAAAGTTGGGTCGTGATATGTGAAGACACGCCAGAGGAGACTGTGCACTGGAAAGGCACACGAGGCCGGCGCAACTGATACCACAAAAGCCCCATGGCCAACGGGTGTGAGATGGAGGGTCCTGCCAGGCCACGACCATCTCGGCCAGTTCCATCCAGCAGCAGAGTGGCGAAAGATGTTCAGCAAGATCGGGTTCCGGATCTTGCACCAGGGCCCTCTGTGGGAAGGTCCTCGAAAAGGTCCTAGCCCGTACTTCTGCAAGCGAAGCTACTTCATTCTGGAGGCGCTTCGCATGACTTGGCAATTTGCCCAGAAATGTGGAGGTTCTAAGAGTCTTAGGATCACTTTCTGATTTTCGATCCTGTTCGACAGCCAGGTTCCAGCGGGTCTCTGTGCCGCCCTCAACCTGTGCGGCTTCGGGTGGCTCCGCATCTTCGGCAGCTGTGCCTTTGCCTCACCTCAGGTCCACAGCCACCTGCTGGACTTCACGGTCTCTCTGGTTGTGTCCTGCCAGCACGAGGGCCGGCCGCAGACCAAATCTGCAGCCTGTCAGATGACGAACGCCAAGGAGTGTTTGATGAGCAGCTTCTGCATCGCATTTCTGCGGCTTTTCTTCAGCCTTGCGCAGGATTGCTTGACGCGGCCCTCAAGCAAGATCCCGCTGGAGCTGAGTCTCAGAAGCAACTAGTGGACCAAGTAGTGCACCTAAGACGCACCAAGAGCCCAAATGTCATGTTCGAGCAGGCTGGGCACAACATCACCTGAAACCTTAAATCGCATATATGGTGCAGTGCTGGCCACCCCAGAAGGTTGAGGCTTTCCTGTATTACTTGTGCAGGGCCAGCCTTCCAGGGTTGCGCTTGCGTCTGGCCTGTCGACGTGGTTGTAAGGCAGCGGGTACTCCCGTATGCCGCGTGCCGATCTCCTCGCCCGATTGCCTTGCATGACATCTCCCTTGAATAGTCCAGCAAATCACTTCTATTCTTCTGCAAATGCGCCTATTGCTCATTCTCACATTGAAAGCGAGCCAGAAAGAGCTGAAGAGGACGGTTCGCATAGCCCGTTCATGGACCCTCTGGACCCAATTCAACCTCCGTTCCCCTGAAAAGTTGTCCCGGCGCTTATCCTGGAGTCCTTCCTGCCTCGGAGAAGCTTCAGCATGAGCTTTGATGGTCTCGCCTCGGAAGAATCACGCAAAATCCCTTATCACCATGATGGCCTTGATGTGAGCTACCGCAATGTTTGTACTTACCAAGGGACCATTAAGGGTCGACACAGGCGTCCCTTTAGTAGCTTAGTATAGTCCCTACCATTTTGCCCCATACATGTCCATGAACTATGTCGGACATGTTGGCTGTTGCTCATGTGGTGAAGGGCAAGTTTGTGTTGATGGTGATTCTGGGATTCGGGGGTATTACTTACCAAGCTGAAATGACTCGGGTTGGGACTGGCCTCTAATGCGAGCCTCCGTTGTCTGATTGACCATGGTAAGTCGTCAAGAGGATGTAAGAGGACATTACAGGGTCTCCAGCCTCATCTCACGACGTAACCCCACCCAAAACACATCCCTTTTGCATCAGTCAGATTCATTCTTGAGCCAACGGTTGTTGGCATAGTTTATGGTTCACATCTCCACGCAGACGTGTCACATGCGCAGGGGCCATGCTAATCTTGCACAACCAACACTCCTCCTCTTTGAGTGCTGGCTTGTCAGCCCCTCAAAGCCAACGGCATGCCCCTGGCTAAAAACTGTACAGCAACTCCGGTGCTTGCTAGATACATCTAGTTACGGCCATCCCAAAAGACAACACAGCTTGCGTTGGGCACTCGGCCTCTTGCGGTGTGCCCCGTGCACCTTGGCCCCTTGTGGCTCGTTTTCTTTTTTCGAGGCTCCAGGATTTCTTTAGTCCCAGTGGACATCGATGGCCCAAACACCCCGGGAGTTGCACTCAAAAGACTCTACTGCAGCTGCTGGACTATACCTTCGGCTAACCACAGTTCCATCATTAACAAAGGCAACACTCGAAAACCCATACAGCTTCGCGCACAGATCTCCAGTGTATTGTTCCCAGCGATAATCCCCAGCACCACAATACGCGGACGCTATGATTACCAAAGTTGGTACGTAGTGCTCACGTGTCAAAAATCCTCAATCGACATTTCGAGCAGGCCTCGGTCCTATCATCGCAGCCTCAGCAACTCTCGCATATACTGCAGTCTCGCTCTGGCCAGCACCTTGGTCAACGCGTCTGCAACCAAGGTCTCGCCAGCCTCATGCCGGATGGTGATGGGTTGGGAGGCAATCTGATCCCTGATCCAACTCGCTCTCAGCGCAAAATGTCTTGTCCGCCAGGTGACCCGATTAAAAGTCGGCCCCGCAATCAAAGTTACAGCACTCGAGTTGTCACACACCATCTCGATGGAATGCTTCAGACCTGTAAGTTGGTCCACGATGTCTTTCAGGCGCAGAGCATCCTGGAGCCCCGTTGCCGCAGCTTCGGACTCTCCCTCACACACCGACCATGCTGTAAGCTTCTGCCGCACGGATCTCCACGACACAATGTCCCCTCCAATCGCCAACACAACACCTGTACGTGACCGACTCCCTTGAGCTGCAAACCTGCAATCACTGTACGATGTAATGACAGTAGACTTGGAACCAATGTATTGAAGAGACAACCAAAGCGTCTTTCGCACATACCTCCACACTGCCTTGAGCTTCTGTAGCACGTATGCCGGGCATATGACACAGAGGCACGCACACATGGACACCAGGGCCTGAATATCCGGCCTTGTCCTCATAGCCGCCCACATCAAGCTGCCGATGTCGCTCTGGCATGCCCGCAGTTGCTCCTTGTACTGCTCGTCCTTCTCTGCTGGTTCCTGAGGGGCATCATCCAAGCTGGGCAAAGACGGCGACCCACTGATCTGTGACAAACCACGCTTATGTAGCTCTTGGGCCAGCCACTTATGTTGGTCCAACTGCACCCCTGCTTCGTTGAGGGTTATCCTCAGTCCAAGAAACACAAACTCATCCACTCGCGGGACAATCAGGCTGCCACGTCCAATCTGTGGCGAGGCATCCCAGCTCATGAAGCCCTGGACCGTCGCAGACCAGACCTCGAGAACA